AACGAACGTTAATTTTACTGTCGCGAGGCTTATACATATTAAAATGGTTTTAAAAACATTAAATTTAAAAACTAATATGTATTTAATCTTGTAGACACGTTATAGCGTTGTTCGTTCAGGTAGTTATTAAGAAATACCTATGGCTATGCACTTGCGTATTACCTTCAAAATTCTTTTGTCCCAGTTATCTCCCGTACCACGAAAAGTCTTCCCACTCTTATAAGCTTCTCCACTGTCTTGTCAAGGAAATGACCACCCAGTAACGTGAGTAAAGTAGTGCGTCTGCTATGGGACAGGCAAACACCAAGCTTATTCAGGCGATGTTGTAACTAGAAGAGAAACCTTTTATTACAAATTATAATTGACAACAATGTTGCAAATTATGGCAATGCACTACTTTAATAAGCCTAGTTTCTATTTGGTCTTTATGTTGATACTCTATTTATACATCAGCCATATTACTGTAAATTATACAGATGAAGGAAAAAGTAAGAATAAAGAGCGCATAATGGCTGAATTTTACAGTTTCTTAATACCTAAATTTGTCCTGTTTTATAAGAAGGGAAACTGATTAGCATCTCAAATGATTTTGTTTATGCAGACTCGTGCAGCTAATTATGACAACCTAATTGAGACCTATGGCTCTGTTCATACTCTGTTAAAAAGTTTTTACCTGTTAAAAACAAACACGACCAAAACAAACAAATAAGACAATAGATGCACCTGACATTGCAAGCTGACTCGGCTGCGTGAATTTTGGAATGATTTTCAAATTTCATGCACACATAAATAAAACACACTTTTACTTTGCTTTTCGCCTTTATATTAGTTGACTGTTTAGGAAATTAAATTAAAATAAACCGTATAGACATCACTGTGCTATTACAACCTGAATATATTAAGCTGTACACTTGTCACTTGTGTTGATTTCAATGGTCTTTGCATATAGCATATAGTCACGTGCACGTAGTTGTATATATGACAGAACTATATACAATCAATTTTCTGTAGTATACGTTTGGTAAAGTTAAGGCCAAGTAGATATCCATGAACATTGTATCATTTTGAAAAGTGAAACGTAAACACATATTAATAAAAAATTTACCTGTTTTGAGCAGCCACCTTCAATTAAGCAAAGCGTGTTCAATCGCTGAATCAGACTTAGTTCATGCCAACGTACATTCATTAGAATGGAATATAGAAACCCGTACTTTGCTCGTAGGTCTTGCTTCGCTTTACATCCTTCAACACCAGTGATTGCATTTAGAATCTCCATGACAAATGGGATATTGGTCTCCATTTCTTCCCACAACTTTTCAAACGAGAAGTTTATCATCATGCCGCATGAGTCTTGTCGTCCAGCGTGTAAAATAGAGCCTTTGTTTCTAAGGCAAAGGTTTTTGCAAGACGCATTTATATCATCAGTGATTTTTCTCTTCACCTCTCTAACTACGTTGGGACAATATTTCATAATTATATACGCGAGGACAGAGGCGTCTTCTGTTCGTGCAGCTGCTGTTATTTTCTTTATCTGACGTGCAGTAATCAGGGTCGAAGACGGGATTACAGTTGAGTTTGCGGTCGATAAAAAATCGAGCCTGCTTCTTACACTGCGAGTCGAAGTCGTAGTTGACTGAGCTATGTCTAGATGTATTGTACTGGGGCCAGGCACGTCCATCTCTGGTTCTTCTATACTCTCATCATCTTGTGACATTGATTGCCGTTTCGCCGGTTTTTTGTTTGAAATGTTGGGCGATTGCACAGGACATCTTTTCACAGTTACCTACTCCTTTAAGTCAGTTTGTGCTTGTTGACATTGGCCTATGAATACATGGATTTTTTTAACGAAGGTTATGCATTTATTGCATACAGCCGTGGGAAGACCGTCCGATCTTTGTATAAAAATTCCACACGATTCGGATATTATTTTAACCAGAAACTTCTGTGTACTGCTGCTACCGATAAAACGTTTGTCATGCGCCGGCTTTCCGTTTCACATCCACATAATCTGCAGCATCCTTTATGTTTCTGTTTTAAATAAACTTTTCTAGGTGTAGATTGTGTACTGTTGTTCTCCATCGAAATACTGTATTGTACGCTCCTGGCTAATTGAATTTATAATATGCATATTTCGCATGTCGATTTCATGTATAATTATTATAATTATGCTATTTCAGTAAAAGGGATTTGACCAATGGGTGATAAGAACACCGCAGCCGATGCCAGGGCCTTCTCCAGCTCAAAGGCCCTGGGGACGAGGTTGCCGAAATCCGAACGAATCGGATTCGGATTTGCACACCTCTAGTATACAGTATCCCTGCATGGTTATGACATATTTTAATCAGATCTAATTTCATGTCATATGCACTTTAAACTGCTTGGTTGAATTTACCTTGATAATGTATAATCTTTTAATCCAACATGTAAATTGATTGCAGTAAATGTTCCTATACAACCACGTAACCTTTTATCTGGTCCATGACCAATCTTCCAAGTTACAAACAACGGGCTAAAAACATCAAATTATTACTTTCACTAAAGATAAAGTAAAGTCGATGCGCAACAGTTCGTTCGCACGTGTCAGTTGTATTGTTGTATTCAGTAGAGCTACAGTTCGTTCGCACGTGTCAGTTTGTATTGTTGTATTCAGTAGAGATAGGCCGATACCAATACCAAATATTTATTTATTTATTTAAATCCCCTTGAGCATGTCACATATATAGTGGCAGGGAATCCACAAGAGCGTACAGTAATTGATATAACTTAATGTCAACACGGAAAATTTCTTTCTTTATATTTCTTTGTGCTATGTTATAAAAAATATATAAAACAATTTTTCCGTATTGTATACAGTTCTATCAACACTCGTGGAAATTGGGAAAACTAGAAATTGTGGAAAAACACTCCGTCTTCCGGGCGTCGTGTTTCCACACAATTTCTCGTTTTCCCAATTTCCACTCGTGTTGATATAATTTAAATTAAATCTCCTCAACCCTCCTGATATAATCACGTGCAATTAACGGATCAGGAGGGTTGAGGAGAAATATTTTAACGAGAGGTGCGGTTACGAATTTCGAAAAATTCAAATTTTTAACGGTTGGTTCCAGAGCAGATCGGCTCACGAGTTCGGAGAAAGTACTTTAATTTCAATTAAGCATGGAAAAGCGAGAGAAAGGATTTTACAAGTTGGAAACATTGAATATGTATAGCCGCATAAGGGACCGGTCATAAAGTAACTGCTAGTGTGGGCCGGAGTGATTTGGGATGGGCTATGGAAAATCTTTGGGCAGTTTGGATGGGCCGCCAATTATTTTGTATGTCTACGGTTGGGCCACCAAACAAAAACCCATATCTACTTTCATCCAGGGGCGTAGGAAGCCAGGGGGGCCTCGGCGCCAACCACGGTGGTGCCTAGTGGGAGTCGTTCCCCCTAACTTTTACAAGCTTCCCTGCTTTCATCACTTATTATGATAAATATAATAGCAAATAAGATTTTAAAATCAAACATAATATAAATCTAACAGGGCTGTACACTTGCCCCCACCGAGAAAATTTAACTAATTTTATATAAATGTGATTATGCTTGTAACGGATAATTATGCAGTCAGGAAATAAAAATTTCATGCAAGCAAGAAGTGTCTATACAGCCGGCTATTTAGTAAATTGTCACTTGTCAATCCATACTCATCGAATTTTCAAAACTTTATTGTGATCATATGAAGCAAAAGTTCTGTCACTTGTTGTTTACACTTGCCAATGTTAACTGTTGAGTAACATACACACTATTCGAGGAACATGCATTACTGTAGCAAAGAGTCAATCATATATCGAAGACCATGTACTGAATAGTAGAGAATGTTTTGAAGGTCATGAGTGAAGTATATAATTCCATTCCAACCCTGTGCACAGTTAATGATATATCACACTGTTCGGTTTAACTCAGCATATCCACACAAAAACAATTTGTGTTGTGGGAGAATATCTGTTTGAGTAGAAGGTATCACAAGTTTAGTTTTGTACATTGTGTGCCATTGATCTGATCCATCCATATAATATATGATTATTGTAGCTAAGTTATTTTCCATACTGATGAATTTAGGTAAGATTGTCTTGCAAGTGGGTTGTTCTGACAAAATTATCCAGCCAATATCCAGTAGATCAGTACATGTATTCATCATTCTTGTATTAATCTCTAAACAAAAACATTTATATTAGAAAGCAAAATGACAATGTAATGAGGAGGGAGGGTAGGGATTCTTTTATTAGCATTTGAAAATGGTTGTAACAATTTTGATTAATTAGCTCTATTGTGTAAAACCAAAATGTATATAAAGTATAATTTTAACTGATGACATCTTTTACCTTTGCTCTAACACTACATTTGATGACAACTTAGTTGGACTGTTGTTTTGAACAGAGTTACAGAAATACAGGACCAGGATTTAATTCAATATCTCCTGAGAACATTAGTTTCTTGTGATATTGTTAATTGGTAATATATGCCTGCAGCCATAGTTTTGACTGTTTAAAATATTACACAATGATTGTTTGTATACTGTATAAATGTATATAATAAAATGTGGTATTTGGCTACTTACCAGATGAGGATAAGTTTCCATGTTGATAGATAACTTTGGAATAATATCACAAGTAGAATGGTGAAAACAAGACAGCCAATTCAAGATAAAATCAAGATATTTTTGAAGCCAAAATATGGCAAAGACTAACTAGCCCGCGTGCAGGCCCAAGGGAACTGATACCACTATCAGTTCCCTTGGGTCTGCACGCGGGCTAAATAATAACACGAGTACACGACTTACACGAGGCCAAACTACGCCCGTTCGCAGGTTAGGTGCGAGCACAATGTAAACGTAAACAATTGATGTAAGCTAATCGCGGATTGGCTTAATTATACAAGCTCGTCGCTGAATGGCTATGGGTATAAACGTTAATACTAATGTGCTTCGCAGATACAAAAATAAAGATATACACCGGCACTGTATTGATATATGTTCATACCTGGAATTTTTTTTTTTCATTATAACAGTGTATTTTCCCAATTTAGATTGGGTGGGTGGGTCATGAAATAAATTTGGTAAGATTGGATGGGCTTTGAAATTTTTATCTACATCCTAAGATGGGTCACCAAACTTATTGGCAAAATTTGTGATTTACATCCAGCCCACCCTAGCAGTTACTTTATGACCAGTCCCTAAATATGTTATAGCCGCGGCTTTAGAAGCGTTTGGCAATATTTTATCGGCGTGTTTTGTTGAAATTTAGGTCTTCCCAGCTTCATCCGGCGTCACAGCTGCCTACCTTTGCGTTATTGGTAGTGGGTAATATTAGATGATATACAATATTGGGCGGGTTCAACGAAATGACCTGAAAATCGACGAGAAAGTGAAGTAAATTGACATAGTAAACAAGTAAATCCACGAATATTGTGAATCAGTGCGTATTTAGGTATTATTATTTTACAGTATTTTACAATATATAAAGTGCATATTAAATCGCATTCTCATGTTTTTTATTCAACAAATAGATAAGATTTTGCCGTTGTCTGTTCAGTTATACTGTAGATACACAGTATGACGTCATAATGTGGGAAGAACAAAAAAGTGGTTCGAACTTCACGAGCCGCCGAGGCAAGTGGGGTTGTTTTATATCATATAAAGAAAAGCCCCGAATTAAACAGGTACATAGCTTACTTTTTATCCACCCAAACATTCTGAAATTTGAAAAATTCGAAATTTCAGTACAAATACCACGCGAACATGATCTATACAAATAATGGAATGCTAGTCACATGCTGTGTTGTGATTGGCTGCACCGAATAAAGAGTTTTGTGTGACGTAACTCCGTGCGTCTGTCCTCTAATAGACTCTCAATCAATGAAAGCGCTTGAATTCTTAACGTTACTATATAAATCATTATATCAAACTAAAACCACCCCTAAATCACATAGAATACAAAAAGGAAACTAAATAAGTTATACTTTATAATTTAAAGTAAATTTTTAATGCAAAATATAACAAAATAAAAAATAAATAAATACCCACACAGAGCCTGGGCCACCTGTGATTAAACAATGGCCACCTGTGATTAAACAGCCAATGCAATGCCGACGATTTGAAGAATAATCACATTGACCTTACAAATGATGATGCCGTGCTTTTCCCACAACAGCAGAATAAAAATAATAAACATAAAGGCTTAAATTCGAACTTGAAATCGGTATCGCAGCAGTCAATTAACAGCGAAAGGGAAAAAACCAAATACAATCCGTCTCTAAAATCCTCTGTCCCGTGCCCTTTTCTCATACGCCGTGGTAGATGTTTTAAAGGCGACCGATGCGACTTTAAACACCCAAAACCATCTGAAACACGGAAGTGCAATATACCATGTCCTTTTCTGCATAAAAGAGGGTACTGTCTGAAGAAAGAGATGTGTGATTTTTCCCACGACAAATTGATACGTAACTCATCCCCCATGCCCTATCCAGGCGATTATGCTTCTCCTGATTTTTTATCACACCGATTCACCAACCCATTTCCGCCGTACCAGAATTATTATTACCGAGAACCTTGGAGAAATCTCCGCCCATTGAATCCTTTAATGGAAATTCCAATCCCTATATCGTCACAATATCCAAATCCCTATTCTCCAGCCATACAGCCCCCAATGAGTTACCCAAATCAGTACCCTTCACCCCTGATGACGAATTACACAAGACCGCCCAGGCGTTGACAGGTGATTACGATTCATCCAAGTTTGTTTGTCCCTTCCTTAACAATGGTACCCATAAGATACCCGATACCGAACTAAATAAGATACCCGTCAGAATTACTCCACGCACAAGACAGCACAGTTATATAAAATCTCTTAGGCATTGCAGACTTTGAGACCTATGCAAGTGAATAAAACTGCCCCGAGTCAACCACGCTTAATTCCATGTTGCTCAGTGTTGAACGCCAGATCTATTGCAAAACCTGATGCTTTTCCTGCTTTGTGCGCAGACATTAAGTGCAATAACATAGATGTTTGTTGTATAACCGAAACATGGCTCAAACCGACTATACCTAGCTCCCTCGTTTGTCCTCCCAATTTTTCCATCATTAGAAAGGATAGAACAAACTGTGGAGGAGAAGGTGTCGCGATCTTATGCAGGAATGATTGGAGAATGCAGCTACTACCTGATTTGGATAATCCATTCTAATGTTTATGGACAAAAATTATTACACAAAACTCTGAATTCTTTGTTGCAACTATTTACCACCCACCTAACTATGAGTATAATGAGCAAGACCTTATCGAATTCCTTATTGACTCGTGCGAACAACTATTGTTATCTAAACCGAATTCAAATATAATAATTGCTGGTGACATTAACAATTTAAACATTCGATCTGTTCTTAATCAACTTCCATTTACCCAACTCGTTAAGACCCCTACGAGAGGGTTAAAAATATTAGATGTC